TATGTATGTATGTATCATGGGTTTTCAATATTGATAGATGAATAGAAGGTATTAAAATAAAAGGAACACATCTCATATAGTAATACAGACGCGTGGAAATAAAGTCGATAAATATAAAATATAGATATCATTTCTGAGATTTCATATTTTATTGATTTGAATTTAATGAAACAAATTTCATTCTGTCATTCAGTTTCTCTGACTGAGCATCAGAACATTGGTGTCATGAGTCATGACAAGATACATTACACCGAGAGAAGCCTGCCCAACTAAACACTGACTGGAGAACAGGGGCATAGGCTGCCCCAAACGAGCGGGGGTATAATGGGCCTGTCGGGGGCATGGTCTCGTGTAAATGTTTCTATTTTGAGGGTTTGCGAAACACTCTTTCATGCATTTTAGACTTGTTTAATGATAATTTGAAAGTCACAGATTTGGTATGTTTTATATCATAGATGAAAATGTTAAGTTGGTTATCCAACTTATGCCCCCCACCCCTCAGTTTCTCCTGAGTTTCGAAAGAATTACAAAATTGGTCCGGAATGAAAGTGGGAGGGGGTGGTTCCAGACCCCATTTCCCCCATGACTACACCTCTGCTGTGGGGGGGGGGGACTTGCAGCCTCCCTTTGCTCTGAATAAAGTTCTATTAAATGAAACTAGAAACTTAGCTACACTAGAAGGGTGTGCTTGGATGTGGCTATACCACATCAGTTAGGGTGAGGTTAGAATTAAATTGAGGCCTTTATAATTTTTCGTATCATGTGAAAACCAAATTCAATCATTGTTTTATTATTTGTTTAAAAGATAAAAAAGACGTCTGCACCTGTGGTTCAATTCGTCAAAATAATGATCAAAACCTTTCGTAGTATATTCGTTGATATTTCATCTTTATATTTTAAAATTTGCTTTCTACAGTATAAACCAAAGGCAGCGCCATTTGTTTTAGTCCTGTTTCCACATGACATTTGTTTTAGTCCTGTTTCCACATGTTTCCACATTTTAGTCCTGTTTCCACATTTTTTTATATCAACATTATGACGTCAGTATGTTGGTATGATTTCTTTAATATCAACTTTCTGACGTCAGTCCGTTGAATAGTATGTCAAAATTCCATATTAGGTAAGCTATTGAGTTGATATGACGATTCCACAGTTGGATGTTAGCCAATCAGAAACCATGAATCTTTTAGATAAATAGTAATTACAGTTATTCTCGCTTTGTCAATTTCCACAATATCACTAAAATGATAAAATATTCAAACTGATAGTGGACGCTGTATACTACAAAATCGGTGGGATTTTCCTTTTGGCCCCTAGTAATTTAGTACTTTACTTTTAGCCTACACAAGTGGCTACTGACTAGCATTCTTTGAGTACCTCAGCTATAAGTAATCCTCTATTTGGCTGCCTTAAGCAGACATATAATCTTCGTTTTGTCCACTTGGGTAGTTCGACTTGAAATTGTCCATAAATGCATGTCCATTACTGATGAATGGTACGGATGGATCCTTCGGACAATCGCGTTCACCCTCGGACAATATTTCACCGATGGGCCCCCGCAAGCAAATAAACGCAGGCTACTGCGTGAGTGGCTCGCGTGGCAGTGTAAATTCATTGTGCGATGTGTCAAATGTCGGATGGTCCATTCGATTGGTCGATCGGACAAACGTTTTTGCGGCCGGAGAAGTATTTTACCGATGGCGAAAAGGAATGATAAACAAACAAGTATATTGCATATATGTTCCATATTCCCTCGTTCTTCAATTCTAAAATCATATATATAATCATTTAATTCTATAACATGACAAGGCTGGAACAAGGGTTAGCGCAAGTTTAGGACGCCCCAAGCCAATGCTGAAGTTTAGAGTGGGGGTGTGTTAGGGAACCGATGGATCATGATTTCGTTTCATTCACAATGAACCACCGTCCATGGCAGTGCACATGGCAAGACGGAACTAGGGTTAGCGCAGGTTTAGGACGCACCAAGGCAATGCTGAGAGGAAGGTCATTAATATAAAGGAAATTCATTAATACAAACGAGGAAAAGTAATGGCTCTAAGTTACTGCCCTGTGGTACACCATAAGCAACTGGTACAGAAGATGACAAGCAACCATTTTCATTGCATTTCTGAGATCGACCAGATAGATAAGATTGAAACCATTTGAGACTTGACTGATCTACACCGTAAATCTGAAGCTTCCGCAACAATATATCATGGTCAATAGTATCGAATGCCTTTTTGAGGTCGATAAATATTACTCCATTGAGAAGGCCGCTGTCTGTATTAACTGACCAGTTACTAGTGTCCTTAAGGAGAGCAGTAAGTGTACTATGTAGCGAGCTAAGTCCCGACTGGCAATGCGTCAACAAGTGGTTGGTATTGAGATAGTTATAAACTTGTTCGAAAATTACTTTTTCAAAAATTTTAGCGACTGCTGGAACAACTGATATCTGCCGATAGTTGTTCGGATCGTTCTTTTTGCCTTTCTCAAATATTGGTGATACTCTGACCGTTTTCCACTCAGATGGAAATATGCCAGTGCTAATTGATCTGGCAAATATTTCAATTAGTGATGGTGAGATTATTTCAGCCGCTATCTTAATAAGCTTATTAGGGATGTTATCTAGACCAGAGGCTTTTCGTTCATTAATTCTACTTAAAAGCATATAAACCATTTTGACTGTAGGCGGCCTTATAGCAAAACTGTGCTCAGCTGGTTCTAAATAATCTTTAAGTTCGGCTGCAGAGTTAGGTATCTCTGAGGCTAGATTCTCACCAACAGTTGAAAAGTGGATCGTTTCATGTTCTTGTTTCCATTGTGTTTAAGGCAATTCACCTCTTAGGGACATGCCACTTAAGTCATTTACCGATGTTGTTATGAAGATGTACTCTTTGCTTGTAAGGGTCTTCCTGCCCCTAAATCTAAAAGAGTTCATTTAGTACAAAGAGCATCTAATAGTATTTAATCCTCTAGAATATTTTCTTTGAAATGTCGTTTTTTATGCTTAGCATATGATTTATAACAAAATGCACCATTAAATTAATGTTTTGAAAACCTGAAATTTCTTACAAAATGTGCTCTCAGAATGCTGCAAATGCCATTTCAGGGATCCAAATTTTAGTACTTTTCTGGGGAACATTCCCCTATACACACCTAGAAATCTCGTACCTTCGGCACTCGCCCCCCCCCCCTCCTCCCAATATTTCGCAAAGTTTCCACGACTGGGTCCAAAATATACCCATGGACATGGGGTAGAGAGTTACCGAATTTTTCAGGTTTATCCGTCTGCTCATTATTCTGATTTGGAAATAGCTTATATTTTTAAACGGCCTTTCTATAAAGCTTTCGTTGGTAGGAATGCAACTATACCTGAAAATACATGTATATAAGGAGAGTTTCGACGTTTCGAGCGAAGGCCCTTCGTCTGGAGTAACTGATAAATGGTAACATTTTTGGTAGGTGGTAAAATTTTTGTCCGACCGTAAATATGCTTGTCCAATGGATCCGATCGATCGATTGGACCATCTGACCTCCTGCTCAGCCTCTCACTTTGCAACCCTAGCTTTCGGATGACGTCATATGGACAGTGCCTTTTTTAAGGAATTTTCACTGGGGGGCAAAACAGGAAAAAAGCCAGAACGAAAAATATGAGACGTCGAGGTTTGGCGAACGCGCGAGTCTGAAGAGAGATTTTGTAAAACTTTAATTTATTGACTTCAGCTATTTTTACTTTAAACAATAACTTCAATTCTTTGTAGCTATAATCATACAGCTATAACCAGTGGCGTAGCCAAACCTTAATTTTGCGGGGGGGCGAACCTCACGCCGAAGGTGTGAGACCGTGTAGGTGGGTCCGGGGTCCGGAAAATTTTGAAATCTAGGGTCCCTGAATTGCGATTTCATGAAATTTGGGGGTGAAATCTAGCAGAATTCCGAAGATTATAAAGTACATCGAATTAAGACATGAATTTTTCCAGACATTTCTACTCGGGATTAAATAAATTGGAAAAGTCACCTTGAAAAATAGGAGGAGGGATCAGTGTCACCTTACTTCCTCTCTGTGATGCTTGGGGGGGGGGGGATCCCAATGTGATTTTGATCAGAAATGTTGCATTTAAATCATTTTAGGTTCTATGAGACACCATTTCCGCATTCTCAAAATTGCCTTGCTTTTTCATACGATACGGAATAGGTCTGAGAAGAAATATTCATGCTATGGTGATGCATACATGTATTTAACAGTTAAAAATCTAAACTAAATCTATTCTTCTTGGAACCATTTCTACAACTGCTTTAACGAGATTTCACAAATGAAGTTCCTCCAGTATATTGTCTTTTTCCTCAGTCGAGACGTACTTACTCAGTTTCAGATTCGAGCATGTAACGTGTACACCCCCCCCCCCC